AAGTATGCCTGAAAAAGTAAACTTCATACCCAGTTACAATGTTCAGAACCTTAAATACATACCAAAACTTGATTGCCAACTGATAAATCCTTTAAAACAAGAAATGGAACTATTTTTCAACTCAAACCAGCTTAGTTTTCACAATGAGCAACTTGCCAACAGGAAGGGGCGGGAAGAGAAGTGACAAACCCCATTTTTGGACCAGAGTAAGGAGCTCCACATTACCTTCACCCTCCTTTAGCCATTCAGAAAGCTCCCAGAGAGAATAAATAGCCTGAAGCACAGAGGAGGGTGAAAAAAGACAGCTGTAATGGATAACCCATTAATGGCTGAGGATGTTTTCCATCCTCTACTTCCAACCCTCTAAGAACATGACAGAGAGAGGTAAGCTTAAACGCCTGTGTAACAGCTAAGTTCCTCCTTTGCTTTCCCAGTGACTAGAAAACATATTTCCTGGAATCAAAGACAGAATGTCTAAATAAGCTTGAGTTTTTCTTGCTTGTAATTAACTAAAGTAACTACTGCCTCTGGGAGAAGCAAATGGCCCAGAAAAAAACAAAACAAAACAAAAACCTAAGATTCCCATCCTAGTTTGCTCCCGTCTCAGCTCTGTCAGTTGCTTCACAAGATTTTGTGTTTCATTTTGCAGTGGGCCCTAAGAGACTACATGGTGCTGCACATGGTTCTCACCATCTTTTTTCCCCCTTTCTCAATATTTTGTTGATGACATGCCTCTTGACAAATTTTATTAGCATATCCTGTTTAAGGGATGCTTTTCTCTTTTATAGCCTTCCAGAGGAGTCTTTCATTTAAGTATTTCTTCTATGGCATCACCAATGTTCATTGTCACCTCTGTGTTTTTGGTGTTATAAAAAGAGCTGAACAGGAATCCACAAGCAGAAAACTTCAGAATAGGGTATATGAACACTCAAAAAAAAAGTTTCTTCTTCCACCTCAAGCACAGGCAGATGGGATTAATTGGGCCACATGCAGATCTCTCTCCCGATCTAGTCACTAGTGTCTATTTATGATTTATGGGAAGAATAGCCACTTCTAGGACTCCAAGAAGCTGTCCTGGTTTAGTCTTTGGTTAGGACTAGAAGCTCCAGTGTTTCACCACCAACTACAAGCATTGCTAGACTTACTTTCACTGTAGACAAGCCACTACCAGAGGGAGAGGTGCTAACTGAAACCTAGGTCACCAGCTCCCAAGCTAACCTGTGATGCAGGCTTTGTCAGACATATAAAATATGCTTCTAAATCATCCAGTACAGCAAAGCACAAGCATTGTCCCAAACCAGCTCACAGCTCGCTTGTAAGCTTTGTCGGACCAAATGCCTCCAAAACCTCAGCCCAAAACATGTTAAAACAAACCTTTTATTCTACTTCAAAAGCCATCCTAGCATGGTGGCACAAGGACCAGCACAGCAAAAGCAGCGAACATTTAAGACTTTGCATCTCCTGAGGAAGAGCAAAGTAGGGTGAGCTGGCATGCTAGCAGCCTGTCAGGTGTATTTGCCAGGCTGCAGCAAGTCATGGAGGGACTGCAGGTGCCAGATAAGGGCTTCAGGGAAGGGATTCCCCCAGGAGATGCACTCAAGCACACTTGGACAGCAGTGATTCATTCCACAGCTCTGAGGCAGGACAGAGAGCTCCTCTAATTGACCTTGCTGAGGGTCTGGGGCAGGGTTAGGAAGCACAGGAATTGTTTAAGGCAAACATGAAAGTTCCTCTGTTGACTTTGATGCCTATGGATGCAGACAGCCTTTCCTCAACCTAGCTCACTGCTTTCAGGAGCAAGTAAGCAAGCAATGAAAAGCTTCACTTTGATCACTCAACAAACCCCAAAGCAGGGCTGTGTTCAATGCTGCTGACCAGGAGATTCAGGCAGGTTGGTCTCCCGAAAACTAAAAAGGGCAAGTGTTCACAGCCCCCTTCTGGAGCATGGGGCTGCTCTCTGCAGATAAAGGTTGTCAACAGGTACCCAGACACTCCCCTTGGAGACAGGGCTGCAACTCCTGGAGTTGAATTCTAGCTTCATAAGGTACACATTCGTAACCTGTGTGAAGGTTTGTAAGGTCACAGCTCAGCTGCCAGCAGTACCTGAGCAAGCCAGTTTGACCACTAGGCTGTATTTGCACAAAATCCGTATCTTTGAACTACACCAGCAAAGCATCAAACACTGCTGCAGTTGGACTATTTGCTTCAATCTGGACATCACTGACACATTGCACAAAACTCCCAGCCACTTACCTTTCAAAATGAGTCACTGTAAAGGCAAAACTGGACACACACCGTATCTGAAGCACAACTTCAGGGCTTACACCACCACTGGGGCCCCAAAGGCAAATCTGGTTTTGCAGACATCTGAAACTGGCCTTGTATGTAACCAGCAACAACTACCCCTGAATCTGACCTGCACGCACAATAAATCCATCTGGATTGGTCTGGAGCAAGAGAAAACTACCAATATGGTAGACACAAGCAACTCAGTAAATTTTCAATCAAAAACTACATTTATTTTCCACATACTTCCATTCTGCTTACTGCCATAGAGTCTATGCACTTTATAGTCTTCATTGACTAACTGAACAAACTGTTGGCCCCTTCCAAACTGAAGATCCCAAAAACCAGGCAGGAAAAAAAAATTAGCAACATTTCAAACTGTGAGAAGCCCTAGCCTGAGAAAGCTTAGCACTACACCCTGCTGCATCAGCTAGGCAGTACAATTAACCCAGAATTTGTTGGTTATGAGAAGTTAACAACTCGGGCTATTCCCATATCCCTTAAGTCTCTATACCAGCAACAATATTCTGCATGAGTGGCGAGGGAACCAGCCACCACCACATTCCTTTTTATTCCATCCCAATCACTAAGAGGTGAAGTCAGAGGAAAAGAAGTCAAGGGGAAAAAAAACAAGTACGAGCTTATTTACTCTGCACTGCATCAGCTGAAAAGTAATAACACTCCATCTTCCTACAACCCTACCACATAGCTACTGCTTTGAACAAGCTGTACCATTTCCAAGCACCAATGAGAAAGAAGTCTGCAGGAAATACTTAACCAAATGGTCCTTGCTTCTTGCTAATTCTCAAGATCCTAGACAGGCAGGATTTGAGGGCAAACCTGTGGTCTTTTCAGAGGAATACCCAATCTTCCCACCTGCAACAAAAAGAGAGGAAAGCAAGCTATACAAAACACGTGAAATTTAGCAAGAAAAATAGAAAGATACCTGAAAACTGACTGTACAATTAAAAAAAAAAGGCAATCATACATGCCAACTTAGAGTGCATGACACCTGGGACTTTTCTTGGAGAAAAAAGAAAGCACCAATGTTAAAAGTGGTTATGTTTCCAATTGGTACTCACAAACAGCATCATCTGCGTGAGCTGTTGCACTAAAATACCAAGAATGATGTTGGACTCATCAAAAAAAAGACATTGTAACAATGGTAAGAAAAAATTCTGGTTTAGTCACTGCTTATCCTGGGAACTAAGGATGAGAAAGGTTACATTCATCTGTGCCTCATAGTATTGTATTACACATCATATAACATACATTTTATTACCCTTATGCAATGTAAGCTAGACTCCAACAATAAACTACTTATACACCACATCTATAAATTCTCATGAAAATGTCTTATTTACTAACCTTTAAAATCTTGCGCTGTATGTGCTGCAGCGTAAAAGGAGGTCTCCACACCACCATATACAATTTGCATGCTAGTTGTATAGCTACTGTTTCTACTTAACTTTAAAAGCAATGATGTTACGACTTTAAAGTAGAATTTAATAAATAAAAGACTAAAACAGTTTGCCAAGTATTTTGCTAAAGATAATGATATATGCAAACACAAATGGTCACTTAGTAGTTCAACTCAGTAGGGGCCACCTGGAAGCTAGGCAGAAGCTAACATGAAATCATACAGTACTATGAGTTCACAGATGACCATATGGATCTGAAAATAGATACAGAAAATACTACATAAGATCACTCACAAGCCTTGTCTGAGAAGACAGCTGAATTACACCTAATACGACATCACAGAAGCTATGTATCGCTTTTACTCTTAAAAAGTTTCAGTCCTGCACTGACAGTAAAGGTACATGGAACAGTTAGTACAGAGCTACTAGGACTTGCTCCCAAAACACACTGAAGCAAATAGCTTAGCTTAACTCCAGTACCAAAAGCCTTAAAAACTACAGCCAGGATATAGAGTCTTAAAAGACAGTATTATCTACAAATAATAA